GTCATTACATATCATTACTATCATGTTAAATCTTTGAAACAAAAATAGTCCCCTAATAAATATATAAGATTTTTTCAGATTTACGAGACCTCAATTGGAAGTTGCCATTTTTCCCCCTCTTAAATTCGAGTTTATATCTATCTAGTAGTTTCAAAATGTAAACTGGATGATAGTTTTGTTTTTACATTTTTCGCTGCTGTGTGACATCTCATGTGACATTATGACCAGGCTTTCAGGTGTATAAACAATTGTTTTGGTTGGTACAAGATTATTATTATTATTATTATTATTATTATTATTATTATTATTATTTGTTTTTTTTTCTATGTTTTGTTTTACTTTATTATTATTTTTTTAAATATGTAAATATGTCAATAAATGTCACAATTATTTGGATCCTTATTTACTTCTCTCTCTATGTCAAAATGTACAATAATATTCTAAAATGTATTCTAAAACATTTTTTTTTAATTTCTATAAACAAATTTGTGAGAAAAAAAAATAAATGTAAACTCATAATTCTGAGATGCGACATAAACTTGCTAAATTAAAATTATTTTTAAAAATGTGTTTTTTATTCTGTTGAGAAAGAAGAACGATTCAATAGTAACATATTTTGTGTTCACTGAAGAAAAAAGTAATGAAGAAACAGAACATGTGAAAAAAATGGCTAAGACTAGCTGTCTAGGTTTACCTCAGAGCGGGTCATTCCCCCATCCCGGTTAATCTGCAGGTTAAGTAGTAGCCTGACTTGAGTGTTATGGGGATTCCCAGCCACCCTGGTCTGCAGTGTCTGTCACCAGCAGTTAAAATCCCCTCCGTGCTGCTCTCTCTCTCACTCCACTGAGCTGGCCTGACCTTTGATGTTGTAATAATCCCGCACGACAAAAACCTGGTCAGATCCGATAGTATTTCCATATGTAATAGCATGTCTGTGTGCAGGATTTCCCCTCTCTCGGCTCTTTTCTCCTTCCTCAGTCTGTGCCCTCGGTACCCAGCTCAGCCTGCCTTATCTGCTCCCTGCAGGCCCTCATTTGCAAAGCGTATGTTTGTAGAAAAAGTCAACAAATGAAGAAGGGAAGTGTTGGGGGGTTAATAAATAAATAAAGGAAGAAGTAAGGCCCATCTTGGAGGAATTAGTTCCAAATCGGTACCAATGAAAAGAGTGAGAGAACGCCACCGCCACCAGCAGCCCTGTGCCTCTTTACAGTGCAGCCCGGGTAAACAAGAGAGGGCAAAGGAGCATGAAAGGGATAAAGAGAGCTGTGAACATAAACTCTCTGCCTCCTTCACTCGCACATGCACAACAACACAAAATCCAAAGCAGCCATGCATTTCTTTCCTTGCTGGGCCCTTCCTGCTCCACTGTATAGCTTTAGAACTTTGCAACTTTTAAAATGGGAATTTGATAATGTTGTCATTTAAGGAAGCAATTCTAAAAAATGGTTTGGGGGGTTAAATATATAACCCTATGTGAGGTGTTCAAGTCTGACCTCCTAAGAGATGCATAAATAAAAAAGAAATCATACTAGTTTTTTCATTGGTTAATTGATCATTTATGGAAAAACAGATCATGTTTTTGTCTCAAAGTGACCCAGTGAGCAAGTGAAATTAATGTATTTTGTTAGCGCCCTTTACATAAATATTTGTTGTTTTGTCAGAAATACATTTGGTTTCATAATTTTGAACTGTTTTCAAGTGATAATTAGGTATATGATCAATTTAATTTAACATACATTCACACCAGCCTCATTAGGGGTGGGTACCGAAACTTGGTACATTATCTGTATTGATGCTACATTATAAAAGACCGAAGTGTCGATTAGCTCTGATGTTAACAGTCCTGCTTTCGATACTGGAGGATTATTGCTAAATAAACATTACTTACAGTAGCTTAATTTAACTGACCAACCTTTTCTGATTTGCGTTATTTGATATTCATCTGCAAAGTTGGCAATCTCACATGAGAAATGCTCATTTTCCGGCGAGCGTGTCAAATATAAAAGCCATTACAGTTCTCGACTGTGTGCGTGCAATCAGAGGAAGCTCACGCTATGCACACACACATAGCTTGCGACACAGACTCGCGCACACACAGCTTGTAAGCTTGCGGAGTGAACCAAACGGGTTGTATTTTTCGAGTGGACATCGTCAATGTCCGTTGCAACAAACGCAACAAGTTGTTTTCTTGTATAAGTGGAAATGCAAGCAATTTGGCTAAGTTAAAGTATCTTTCAAAGGTGCGTTAACTGCAAAAAAAAAGTAATGAAAAGTTTTGAACTGCCTAGCTACTAATGGTAACGTTACATCATCCACATCGTTATGCCAGCAGTCAATCACCTAAATTAGTGTAATACTAATAGTTAAACAAATACACAAATTCGGTTACAATGAAACAGTATTTTTTCTGCAGTAGCCTAAATAAATCTTAAACATTAAAAATACTTTCACATCAGCTGTATTTACAAATATAGCCTATGAATAGCCTAATAATAAACTGTGCTTATTAAGAAATTATTTGAAAACCTGCTTATTTTTACATTGCAAGATGCTCTAAAACTAGGTTATAAACACAGTAAACTCCCAAAACACTGTTAACTTATTTATGTGAATGCGTTAAGGAAAAATCATAAACAATATCTCATTTAACTGCATTTTGCAATTCAAAGAGGCTTTTTTCAACTGCAGGAAGCACAAGCAAGAAACCAAGAAAGATCCTGACGTCTACCAGAAAAGGCAAACATGTTGATTTTTATCCAGAGTCAGTTTCCTTCAAACCATTGTACATTATTTTACAGGAATAAATTATTTATTTGTTTTACAATTATTGGTTTTATTTATGTTATATTAAAAACATAAAAAATTATTCTTTGATGTTAACTCTAATAATAAAAGTGTTGTTAATTCTGTTTAAATTGTTATTTTCTTTCATAAAACACTACAAAAAGTACCGATAAGAGAACCGTTAAAGTACCGAACAGATAAGTGGTATCGATAAAAGTAGTAATACCGTTAAAACCTTAACGATACCATCCCTAAGCCTCACTTAGTTTGGTTAAATCATACAAGAGTTCATTTACCTTTTTAATGTGGTTCATTTTGGGCAGGATGAAAGTGGCAGTCGCACTGGGTGTGCATTAAAAGTGGACCAAACAAGCATACAGAGACCTGCTCAAAAAGGTGGTCTCGGAACACTTTCAAACAAACCCTGCAGTAGTTTGTTTGTGGTGAATCGAATCGACCAAAGCGCGAACAATCGCTTTTTTAGACTAAACCAGCTGTGAGGTGCATTATGGGATGAGAAAACATTTTTTGAAACAATTATAGCAGGTCGCGGACGAAAGTGTGGAAAAAAAGTTTTGAGGAGTAACTACAATGTTTTAACTAGTCCTTAACCTAGTTTAGTATGCCTATTTAGCAGATTGATAGCATGTTTAACCCTTTGCTAGCTAGTTACATTGTTGCTTGTGTGTTACCAAATTCTTAGCATGTTTTAACATGTTGTTTTTAATTTTTAACACATTTTTAACTAGTTTTAATAAATTGCCACATTCCTAATAAGTTAGCATATTGCTAATTTCATTTCCTAGCACATTTTACCAGGTTGATAACATTTTAACCCATTTAACCCAGCATGTTCTGGCAATAAACTGCACTGCTAACATGTTCTAGCATGTTGCTACTATGTTTTAGTTGTTAAGGCCATCCATTAGTCCATATGTCTATTGACTTTTCCTCCGCTGTTTGTTAACATCTGTGTTTTGCGCACACGTTAATTCTGACCAAGCAAACTGCAGTTTAGGAAATTCATCAAGCCAACGACTAGATTATCTATATTGTCACATGACTGCTTTTTAGTTAGTTTAAGCTGGTTTGGTTCAGAGCACTCTGGTGTGAAAAGGATAATAGCAAAATGGCTGAAAATGCTACAGTGTATCACTTTTAGGGAAACAAACTGTAGATGTGAAAACACCCTCAATTTAATTTCACTTCATTCTTGTGAGTGGATTTAATACGGGTATTTCTCAGATTATATGTTCTCATGAATACCATACAATGATATAATCAAGTACTGTATATGCCAATCATCCAACCAATCAATCAAACAAGTCATAAATAAAATAAAAAAAATACTAGATTTTGCATGATGTGTGTTACTTTATTCTGAACAACAAAACAAACTAAATTCCAACTATATTATATTATATATTCCCATGTTTTTATATGTAATTTTTATCTATTTAGAATGTTTAGCATTATATGTTTTCAGTGGTTATTTTTGGACATTACAATAACATAAAGCATAAAATAATTCATCAAATCCATGGCTCAATATTCAACATTTTTTCTGTTTTTTTTTTCCACCACTTTCTAAGAGATTTTTCGCTAATAAATTTGCTTTAATTATTTAATGAATTTTACTAAACACAACATGAAACGCAGCACTGAGAACAGTTTTTAAAACAGTAAATACAACTTTTTTTTTCTGGAATGAAAGAACAGCAGCACAATTTCCTTAAAAAATGTTCTGTACTAAAATTGTTCAATTTACCCAAACATTCACCTAACTGTGATATTGTCTTGAAAGAATACATGATTTCTATCTTTAAGCAGGTATGTTTAATCATTTCAAATGCTCTGCTCTCTATTCATTTCTACATTGCTTTTTCTTTTCTATTTTTCTATGCTTTCCTTTTTCAGCATCATCTCCCCCTCTGACCAATATAACTTTTACCACAAGCTCATAAGATAAAATACTCTGTGCTTTTACTCCAAAACAATAACAAAGCTCCTATCACTTTTAACACACTCTTACCTTTATACCGTATATTTATGGCAAGCCAGTGATTGCATTTTTATCAGACAGGAAGAAAGAGAGGTCGAGAGAGGGAGGAAGGGTGTAGAGTGATAATGGATCTGGTTCAAATGAACAGCGTTTGCTGAAGCATACCATCTTCTTGTAGCTTCAATGCCCTTTTCGTTTCTTGCTTTTCCTTCAGCTATGGCAGAGTCTATGCAACAGCAGACCCTTATCACCACACGATTGGACCTGCAGCCACGTACAGCGTGGGCACTATGGTGAGTCTAGAAATGTGATGCATGAAACATTCATCCGTGCCCTCACACTACACAGACTCGAGCACCCCAATAACATACTAGGCAGAGCCCAAATATAACAATGCTGACAGATATCACTGTTCATTCTTTTAGATGCTGCCAACGGAATGATTGTAAATGTTATAGAGGAGCTGCAGTTATGTAGTTGGGGTGGCTGAAGTCTTTAATGTTGTATTTGCTCATATTTAAATTTGGGGTCCAAAATTATCAGTCATTATATGTATTATTGCTTAACTTTATTGTTGGAATATTTAATCAGTTCCATGCATGTTCAATAAAGTTCAGAACAGGTTTTTTTTCATTATTTGACATATATTTATTGAAGACAAATGAATAATTTGATTAAAAGATTTTTGTTATCCTTAATGCAATGCAAGAATTACATTTAGAGGTACGCAACAAATTTAATTTCCTAATTTGCTCTTTTATACGTAGCTGAAATTAATTGTCACTTGTCAATCATTCTTCAGTCCTCCATTGGCCGCACCCATACATACGTCCTCTTTTTCTACGAATTCTCTGCTAAACATTAAAAGCATAAGACTTTCTCAACTGCAAATATTCTCTGCTCACAGAAAGTTTAGCTGCAGAGCTCAAGTTAATTTTAGACAATCAGCTTCATTTATGTCATTAGTACGCAAAACATAAACAATATATCACCTTTAAGCAATACAAATACATTGTTTAATGAAAAGAAAGAGACAAAAATAATACAAAATATATTCCTTTTCACAACATTATACAGTGTAAAAAATTATATGGTCAGTTAGTCATGACAGGGTATGTTTTTAGTTCATTGTAGCTTAATAAACCATGTTAATTATGCTCTAACTTAATTTTATTAGTTATGCAAGCAGTTTTAAGTCACTGTAATATTATATAAGTTTAAATGACTCATAAAGTTAATTTGATTCAGTTGAAAAATTTAAGGCAACCAGTATTTCTCTTACAGCGTATGCATTTTTTAATGTATAGAATGTATTTTTTGTTCATTCTATAGAACACAAAGAGATGGCAGATGACCAGAAAATAAAAGTTGGAATATACAATTCACAGCATATTATTTTTTTGGTATCTTTTTGATTTTAACTTAAAAAATGAATGTAAAAAAGAAACAGTACATTTGATTTTGTTCCTCGTATTTTAGATCCCAGATAAATACCCTGAGGACTGAGGAAATTGTTAGAATGTACTCAAGGCACTAAATGGGCTTTTATTTTGTAGATGGGAGAAACCTTCAGATTTTAACATTAAACACATCGCAGAATGAAAACAGATCCCAGATATATGTCTAAAAATTGTAGAAATATTTTCAGAATACAACAAATGTTTTCTTTTGGATATGATAGCTTTTTTTATTCTAATAACTCACTTCGGCTACATCAACAATCCCTCCTACAGATAAAACCTTGTTGCAACAAGCCAACTTGTGAAGTGTGTTATTTACTCTCCACAGCAAATTTACGCTCGTATTTGTCACTTGGAAAGTGTTAATTTTGGACCCTGTATACATTTGCATTAATAATGTCAGTAGAATAGATATATGTTTACATATTCCGAGACTCATCAGCTGATATATGTGTGTGTGACAATTTGTCAAAATGGATCCTTGGTGTTTTGTATCTCATTAAATGCAATGGGGTAATCCAGCGCACTGACACTTGATTAGACCTTCCATCTGATGTGGGGATCGTCGTCCTGTTAATGTTTGTTTTTAGCTAGCTTTTGCAGCTAACATCAAAGATGAAAAATTCTAAAACTCCTATCTGAACACAAAAAGAGAAAACTCTTTATGATTTGTTTTTTTGCGGCTGTTGGTCGGGACTTTTCTCAAGATTAACGACCATCAAGCGCGTGCAGCAGCGTGCCGAGGGAGATTAAAGAAAAGGCGAGAGATAGAGGGAGAACGACGGGGAAAAAAGAAAGAGAAAAAAAAAGATTCCATCGCACCCACCTCCCCCTGCCCATGAGGCTTATTGGACAAACACTCTGCCTAAGACAAATGACTGGAATTTACCAAGTCGACATCCGTGTGATTCTCAAAACCGTACTATTCCCCGGTGCAGCTGCTAGCTAAAAGCTTTCATTAATTAAGACCATTTTTTTCCTCTTCATTTACTTAATTAAAACTGTGGCCTGTGTTGCTTTTTTGCCTCCTTTTTCTTTTTTTCAAATTTTCCTCCCTTTCTCAAGACTTCAATTTGCCAATTTGAGGCATAGCAAATATCCTTCAGTGCTCCTCCGGTCCAATGATGGCCGCAGGGGGGCCGAGGTGGGCTCTCAGAGTTCTCAGTGATCCTAGGACCGAACCGAATGTGACTCAAACGAGCAGAACTCTTCTTAGTACTTACTCTGAGCCTGCTGAGATTGAAATGAATATCATTAAATCATATTTGACCAGAAGATCACAAGTAAAAAGTATTTAATAATGAGCCCCTCGGAGAGTTAGAGGGGGGAAAAAAAGTTAGTTTGCTTTGCTCTCTTTTAGAACAGAATTCATGCCACGTTTAAGGCGTGTGTATTTTGCACAGGGTCGGAGCTGAGGAGAACGGCCCATAGATCCTTTGAAGTTTTTTTGTATTTGGCATTACTGCAGTCCGGTTAAGGAGAGGTCTGAGAAAGTAGCGAGTGTTAGATGTTTTCAGTCAGATCAACCTGAAGGCCAGGCAGCCATGATGGAAAGGTTCAATACAGGGGAGCTGATGAAATCAACCAGAAGGATGCAGCATCCTGTTTTAAGGTGTGTTCACGCCTTGCCAAAACTGCCGCAATAACGAGATCCTGTATAGTAAAAAAACACCCATGTCCTTGTAATTACTACTTGCAAAATGGGAATTTTCGGCGAGATCAAACTTGTTCCACCTGACAGAATTGCATAATTCCGAGGACATGAGCTCCTCCAAGTAGTCCAGGGGCCTGATATATAATTTCTAGGCCCCCTGACAACATATTAACTCTACCCCTCTGAAATCAGTAATTACACAGTGGAGGGTGGGTAGAAATCTGTAGTGTTTTTTTCTGCTTTTGGCAGAAATCATTGTCGTACTTTAGGGGATTTCGCTTAGATGAAATCTTTATGTCGTTCTTGGGGGCTAGAAATTAGGGATGTCCCGATCAGTTTTTTTGCCCTTGAGTCCTAGTCATTTGTTTTTAAGTATCTATTGATACCTAAACCCGATCCGATACTTCTATTAAAACAGATCCAGGATGTTCCTTATTTTTTATTGAATTCGTCTTATTTTAACATTCAACAACTCTGTAAACAAACAGAGCACTTCTGTGAGGTATCTTAAGCAATCAAGTAATAAATAGCATAACTTCTTCACTTTTGGACTTTAGCGCAACAGTACATATAAAATAAATCTAATAAAAAAACAAATAGTACCTTAACTTATAATCCCTGGCAAGCAATCCTAAGTTTACATATCTCACAGTTTGCTATGACAATGTTGTCGTCATAATAATACCTCCAGACCGCAGACTTACTCACGCTATCTGCTTCAAGCTGCTTCCGTGTTCTACTTTGCCGGCGTTTACCAAAGTGATGTCATGCCGCACTCGTTGCTATTTCTGTGTTAATTCAAGAAAGAGGTCTAACTCTGTGCCAATGCATAACTATAGATGTGTTAAAACAATGAGAATACATATACACATACATATATATATTCGAGTTCTGAACGAGATGTAACGTCCGATTCGGATCGAGTTCAAAACCACGTGATCGGGCCCGATTTCCAATCATGTGATCAGATCTGGACATCCCTAGTAGAAGTTATGTTCTGGAGTGGGTCTACCTTGGTAGAAATCATGAAATCACGGTCAAAGTATGGCAATCTTTCACATGGTAAAAATCATTTGGGTCGCCCTTCAGTAGATCTTAGCTTCAATCAAGATCATTTTTGAAGGATATACCTTAGTTGAAACTGCTGTTGTTCTAAGAGCAGGTGTACTATGGTAATGACCAAAAAACGGGGGCTCCCTATGATAACATTCTCATTCACATTTAGAGGCAAACAACTTTCATTGTGGGGTCAGTCCCCTTCAGTTCAAACCAATCAGGCTCGTTGGCTGGAATCTCTTTCACATTCCAGGAAAACAGATCCCCTGTGTTAAAATTTTGGTGGATCCCGCTCTGTAGAAATTATTATAGTTTAAGAGGGGGTCTCCGTAAACCCTCAGTAGAAATGAAGAAATCACAATCATTTTTTGTAAACATTTAATAAGAGACTTTACCTTACAAATTTTTATCAGGTTAATATTCTTGGGGTTAAAGTCACATACAAATTGATCTTGGTTAGTAGAAATCGCAGTCACATTTTGGCAGAAGGCTCCTTTCTAGATGATACCAGATCTCCGCTGATAATGGAATCATCCTAACTTTTCTCCCCATTTGTTGTCATGTCAAGATTACGATAGTGTAAAAATGGCATGGCGTCGGTACCTGGCTGAACTCTGAACTCTGTCACCCACCTGCCCTCGATTCAAATGGTAGCTCCATTCCAATCCTAAACCTTCAAAATAACATGAAAAGGAGGAAAATTACAGAAAACTGTTCACCTTAAAGAATCTATTTAACACTGATTGGGTCATTTTTCTTTTTTTTTTTCATCTTTGATGTTGCAGGCTAGCCTTTACAGAGGAGGTTACAGTCGCTTCACACCCTACTAAAGAGAGAATCAATCCCCCGACCAAACAAATAAACAAACAAAAGCAAACAAACACAAACAAAACAAGCCACCCAAACGCCTCCAGCTCATAAGCGAACCGGTCACATTCGGGCTAAAGCTCTTCTTATCATCCTACGGTTATCCGGCATTTCTGTTGCTTGGCTATTGATTTGAAAATGTGTTTTGTTTGTATTGAAATGTGTGTTCTGGGAGGGGAGGGGCTGAGTGACAGAGAGGCGGGGGTGGGGGCTGGAGGGCTGCTGTCCAATGAGTTTTCTCATTTAGTCGCGGCGT